GGGGGGGTGGGGGTGGGGGTGAGGAGGGAGCAATGTCCGGAGCTGGGAAGTAGTGTCCGTTGTAGTGTCCAGCCCTGTGGGGGGCAGTGTCCGGTTCAGTGTCCGAGGTGGGCAGCTGTCCAAGCTCCAGGGAGGGTCGTGTCCGGTAGGGTGTCCGGTGGCCGGGGCCCGGGCCGCGCGCGCTGCGCTCCCTGCAGCCCCGGGACTGGCGCGCTAGGGACGCGAGCACAGCGCCGGGACCCCGCCTCCCCAACCCCCTCCCCTCCCGGGCGGCCCCCCCCTTCTTTCTCTCCTCCCTTCTTTACAGGGCAGGGTCCAGTTTTCGTCACAGCCTCCTCTGTCCAATCCCCGTACCTGGCGCCGGGCGCGGCCACCAATCAAACTACTGAAACCACGGCGGGTTGCATCATGTGCCTCTGGCTTAGTGACAGCGGGGAGGGGCAGGGCAATCGGGAGGGAGGGGGCGGTGCTATGTTAGCCACGCCCCCGCTTCTGAGGTCGGTCGCAGAGAGCTAGTGACGTCACGGAAGCCCGCCTTCATGCTCTTGTTTTAACTCTTGACTCACCAACCAACAGATTAAAAACCCTCTTGATAGGGAGCTTTGGAAAATGAAGGGCATAGGGCATAGAGGAAGGTGCTGACTGCTGCCCTCTGAAGTCCTGTCTCGTCTTAGGGTCCCTGGGAAAGGAAAGAGCCTTAGCTACCTGCGCCAGGCTCAGCTCTAGGGGTGGACCTCCGCCCCTGGATAAAGGAGTCCAATTCCTCGGTCTGAGTCACCTCCCTTTTGAGGTGAAGAAGCTGAGGCAGAGGCTCTGGGAAAGCGAAGACCTAGGCAGGAAGTAGAATCTAATTTAGAGCGCACAGTTCACTGAACTCCAGTGGGGAGACTGACTCTGGATTCTAGGGAATTCTGTGATCTTCCAATGGAGTGGAGGCCTCGCAGGGTGAATATCCTGCGGTTGTGTGTAGGAAGGGGTTAACCGAGGGGCTAAACGGACGGGGCGGGGCCGCGGACGGGGCGGGGCCAGGGCCAACGCGGGCGCGCGCGTGTGTTGCTGACTCAGCGGCGATTCCCGCGGTCTCCGGTGGAGGGTTCCAGGTTGGCCCCCAGTGGCTGGCGTGGGGGACCCTTTGAAGATCGGCGCCATCTCCAGGCCTTCCCTGGATCCTGATCCCTGGAGGCCGTGGCTCTCGGTTTTTGCCGCCGGAGGCTCTGGGAACGTAGGCTAGCCCGAGCTGGGAGGGGCGGGACAGGGCGGGGACGTCAGGCCAGCGCCTCCCTAGAGACCTCTCCGCCACGCCACGCCCTTCTTGCCCTGGGTCCCCAGACTGCTGGCTGGAGTGGTCGGGGCAGCTTTGCTGACCGGATATTAAACTGCGAGAGTTGTCGCACGTGAACACCATCCTGCCTGTCGCTCGTGGTTGTGAAAACAAAGACCAGGAATCAATGCGACCATCTCTAGAGGCCATCCTGGCGTTGCCCTCGCCGCAGATGAATGTGGCCTGCACTGAGGTTTCCTAGGGATGGACACACCACAACCATATACTCTCTTTCCCGTCTGGATCCCAGGCCCTTGCCCGCAGGGAAGTTCTTTCCGATGTCTAACCTCTCTCTTTCCGGCAGGCTCAGTGCATTTCCTCTGACCCAGGGAAGATGGAGAACCAGCAATCGCCCCCACCCCCACCACGCCTATGATAACTATTCGGAAATTTGCAAATTGGTATCCTCTCCTTGGTTTTTCTCCAAGATGAAAAACTCCGACTCAACTTTTTAAATTACTTTTTTCTTTCCACCACAGAACTTTAGAAGAGACCGTAGGGTGGTAATCTAATCCAAAAGCCCACCCCAAATGGGAATCTCCTGCCCACCACCCCCCACCCCCACACCACGCACAGGCACACACGGTCCCCAACTGCCTCAGTCTGAACCTTCCAGAGGCCGGGAACTTGGTGCTTGCTAAGGCAGCCATTACTGGATAGCACTCTGGTTGTTAGAAAGCTCTTCCTTACGCTATTTCAAGAGCATCCCCCGCCCCCCTCGCCCGGCAGCTTTCCCACCTCACCTCTGTTGCTAGTGACTGGGTGAAGGTGGAGGAGGTGTCAGTGCCTAGAGCTTTAGCAGGCTCAACAGCCCCCCACCCCCACCCAGGCTCTCAGCGCCTTCCACTCAGAGCCAAGCACGGTGGTGGTGGGGAACCCATCGGCTCTGTCCTGCTGCAAATCACTTCCAAGTCGGTGACTCAAAAATAGTAACAGTTGTTGGGTTGCATCTCATTTCCATGTTATCAGTTTAATGTGGCAGAGTACAGAAGCAATTCCTTTAAGTTCCTACCTCTTTCTCAGTGTTCCCCCACCTACTCCCCTTTCCCCCTACCCTCCCTGGAACCGTTTCCTCAGCCCGCCCCTTCCTCTTGATTCGCAGCCCTAGTTGTCCCAGAAGGAGACGCTGTGGGTCTCAGTGGGAGCCGAGCAGGAAGAAAGGCGGGGCCGACGGGGGCAGCGGCCGCGGGGGTGAGGCCCTGGGCTGCAGCCCCCACCCCGTAGCAACCTCCGCAGGTCCTGGCGGAAGCGCAGGCCCAGAAAGGCGTAGAGCACCGGGTTGAGGCCGCAGCGGGCGAGGGCCAAGCCCCCGGTCACCAGCAGTGCCAGATCCTTGCGCTTGCTGGCAGGGCAGCTCCGCTCCCGGGCGGCCAGTAGGTCGGCCGTATCTAACAGCAGGGCGAGACTGTAAGGCAGCTGCAGCACTACGAAGGCCGCCACCAGGGCCACCACGACGCGCAGCGCTCGCCGGCGCTCAGGCCCCCTGGCGGCCAGCAGCGTGCGGCCCAGGAGGGCATAGCAGGCTGCCATGACGCTCAGCGGCAGCGCGAAGCCCAGGACCACCTGCGCCACGGCGCTCGCCCCCTTCACCGTCTGTGTGAGGCCCTCGGGGAAAACGAGTCGGCAGCGCCGCTGGCCTTCCCTCTGCCCGTCCTGGCTGAAAAGGAGAGCAGGCAGCGCCAGGAGCAGCGACAGCAGCCACACCATGACTGAGACCAAGTGTGCCCGGCCGGGTGTGGAGGGCCTCGGTCCAGCTGGGAGGGCCCGCGCGATGGCCACGTAGCGGTCAGCGCTGATACAGGCCAGGAAGAGGAAACCGGCGTGGAAGGAGGCCGAGTAGAGGCCAGAGATGGCACGGCAGGTGACACTTCCCAGACTCCAGCCCTGCAGAGCCCCGGCTGCGGCAAAGGGCAGGGTCAAGGCCAGCAGAAGGTCGGCCAGGGCCAGCTGGAGCAAGTGGGCAGAGGTGGGCGAGCGGGTAGCGCGTCGGGCTGCCAGGTGGGTGGCTAGGACCAAGCCATTGCCAGCCAGACCCAGCGCAGCCACCGTCAGGGAGACACTGGGTTGGAAGGCCCGACTGAAGGCCTGGACATCCGCCTTGTAGCAGAGTTCTGGCAATGGTTCAGCCGAGTATGCCTCCTCATCATCGCCAGAGTAGGGTCCCCAGGAGACCTGGGGAAGTCAAAATGAGAGGAAAGACCTTATGAGACATCTTCCCACACACCTCCTCCTCCCACACATGCCTTCCAAGCTGGGAGCTCCTGTGTGACCAGGTACATCGGTACACGGGGAAAAGACAAACTCTTCCTGACACACCCTCAACAGGCCTTGGCTTCCCTTGCACCCCTCCTGCCTTTACATCCGGTTTCCTGGGTGACCTTGAGCAAGCCACTGCTCTTTCTGGATCTCAGTTGCCTAATATGTAATGTCGAGATTAGAAATCCTGACAAGCCCCCCTAGCAAGATTGTTTGAAATAGGATTTTTTGAAATAAGGAAGATAATGCATGCAAAGCATCTGTGCTCTCCATAGGCCAAGCTTTTGAATTAATAAATTTTGGAGCCTCAGTATTTGCAGCGCCCTCTTCTGGAAGAACACCCACATGCAGGCTTTGCCTCAGACCTGATCCCTGGACTCCGTGCTTGATCTGGAGAGGGTTTCTATGTCTCTTTTCTCATCTTCCCTCCCCACCGCACCTCTACTCCAGTACAGGTTCACTAAACTACTCGTGACAAGGGGGTCTCAAGGGTTGCAGTTCAGGTTTTCTGGGCTCGGTTGGAACCTTGGACCCCTAGGTTCAGCTCGCCCTTCTCTTCAGCTCCAGCCCCGGCCCAAAACCCCAGCCTCATCACCAGCGCTATCTATCTGGAGAACCCCTGGTCCCAGCTGGCTCCAGGCATCCTAGATAGTTCATAGCATGGCAAAGGCCTGTTGCCAGGTGGGGAAATCCCATGCCTTCACCTTCCCTCCCTCTCTGTAACCAGTCCCCCGCTGCCCTGCTCCCACCTGCTCTGCGGGTTCGGTCCCCATCTCTGGCTACACAGGTTTCTGAGGTATAACCACCAGGGAGAGAAGTTAAACAAGTGGGACAGGAAGGAAGGGGCGGGGAGAGGGGCCAAGAGGGCGGTGGGGATTAGGGTCTGTGGGCTCTCTTTACCTAACTTTCCCATTCCACTCCTTAAAAAATAATTTCTCTTTACCCTGACAGTGGAAAAAGAATGGGTTTTGGAATATCGCCATTTGCCAGCTACCTGTGTGATCTTGAGTAAGTTTTTTTTACATCTCTGAGCCTCAGGTTTTTCATCTACAAAGCGGAGTAAGGTAAAAATGCTGAATTCACAGGCTTCTGAGAGTGCCTAGCACAGATGACTGGAGCATAATTTGCCTTTAGAAAAATATTAGATTCTTTCACTTACTCTTTTCCCCATCTCCAGACTAGCCCCCCCTCCCCCTCCCCTTTCTTGGATTTTTCAGGAGCTCCTGGCCGGCCCCAGCCTCCCTTCCCCCATCCCTTCAGCCCCAGTCCCTGCCGGCCTCGGGTTATTCAGGGTATTTCCCGGTGGCTGGAGGCTCTCTACCCCCGCCCTTTCTCAGCAGGGCTGAGGCGCGCGCTTGCGCGGGGTCCGGGAAAGCGGCGCGTGCCAGGAGAGAGAG